TGAAAAAATGGTGAAACCGGTCGGAGATGCTCTTAGAGTATCTCTCACCCATCACCAATCCCATATTTATCATCTAATTTTGGTGTTTTTAGTCTCCCAACCTAAATTTCTAAATCACCATTACACCTAAAATTATAGTGATTTAGTTTAGTCTCCCACCCTGGTCAAACTCTATATCACTATATCCATAAATCCTATATTTTCACCAAAATATTTGGTGAAGAAAGTTTCATCTCCCACCCATCCACCATTTTACCATTATTTCCACAAAATCCTATTTTTTGTATCAAATATAGAAGTGAAAATAGGATTTGGTGTAATTAACATCATTTTATAATTAGCATATAAAACTATTATATTAACTAATTTCATGTGATTACCAACTTATAAATACGCTTATAGTAAATATATTAGTGTTAATTAGTGAATTAGTTTTCAAACAAGGTTTTAATGAGACCCATGTTATCAGTGAAATAATATTTTTGGCAAAAAAAAAATATAGTAATGTTTCTATGATTAATTTATGTTGTAATGTTTTTATGATTAATTTATCTTGTAAGGTTTTTAGGAAATAATTAATGAAATTATTGTTTATTTGTGGTTTTATTATATTTATAATAATCTAAGTCGATTTTCATTCATGTTTCAATAAATTTTTGATATTTATCATAATTTTTAAATTATATACTTAATAAAATCATTGTTTAAAATCAAATGCATAATCAATATTTTGGTGATAAAATAGACTAAATTTACAATTAACATTAAACTTATAATTTGTAATATATTTGGTGAAATGCCATGGGAGACAAACCAAATCATATTCTCTATAAATGGTAAAATGGTGAAATATTAATATTTTATTATTTGGAGTAAAATTTGATGGAATTGGTGTGAGACTAAATACACTATTTTGTCACTAAAAATAGAGAAATTATAGAATGATGTGCTACGGGTGGGAGATAACACTATTTTTTCACCACCAAAAAATATGATTTGGTGGAAAAAGGTTGTTAAGGGTGGAAGGTGCTCTTATGGTGTTAAATTCAACATAATCATCTAGATTCCATGGAATGTGCTATAGTTTGTACTCGTTTTTGTGTAAAAATAGAGTTTTTGATGCACCACACTCTGATATATACAAGCCAAAATACACATATTATGATCATCTTGCTTCAAAATGTGGAGTTCGGATGGGATAAAATGGGTACAAAAGTGATAATAATTCATATAATCTCGAAGATTCCACTAAATTTGAAACCGCAAAGGCGGACGTGTAAGAAGATTTATTGTTGAGGAGGGTGGTTGTAATTACCCAAACAAGAGGGGGGTTTTCGTAATTTAACCATACCTCAGGGGTTAGTTGTAATTTATCCTATTGTTTATTATTGGGTAAATTACAAACACCCCCCTAGGTATGGTCAAATTACAAAAAGACCCCTCTTGTTTCGACAATTACAACCACACCCTTAGCTCCTCAAATTTAGTGGAATCTTCGAGATTATATGAAATAGTATCACTTTTTTACCCGTTTTATACCATTCAAACTCTACATTATGAAGCAAGATGATCACAATATGTGATTTTTAGCTTGTATATATCAGTTTGTGGTGCATCGAAAACTGTATTTTTGCACAAAACGAGTACAAACTAGAGCAGATTCCACATAATCTAGATGATTATGTTGAATTTGGCATCATAAGGGTGTAGGCGTAAGAAAAAATCATAGTTGAGGGGGTAAATGTAATTATCCAAACAAGAGGGGGGTTTTTGTAATTTGACCATACCTCAGGGGTGTTTGTAATTTACCTTTTATTATTTGATAAATTTGAGGCTACTGGATCTTAAAAGTATATTTTAACAAGTCCAGAAAAAAGAAACAACGCAGTGATTTATTCAAAACTAATATGAATAAGTGAACCTTTTTATTTTGGGCAAATGACAAATAGGTCCATGACAAGGGCACTTAATTAAAAGAGGGACATCAAACTTTTTTGTCTTTCAAATGAATCCAGCTCATTCAAACTTATTTGCAAATAAGGAAAATCCTTTTATATATACCAAATTATCCCCAATTCATTGAAACTCAATTCAACTCCAATTTCATGATTTACACCCCAATTTAGCCAAATTTTATCAATTAACCAATTTTAACCCTAATTTCAATTTTGACCCCAATTTTGACCCGCCACCATCAGAGACCCGCCGGTCACCGCCGATCTGCGGCGTTGACTTTTTTTTTTTATATAATTTTTTTTTCTTAAAAAAAATATTTTAATTAATATTACTGTCTTGGCTGCTAAAATACTGTCTCTAGCAGTTATTTAACTGTCGGAGACAGTAATTTAACTGTTAAATTGACTTTTTTTTTTCTTCAAAAATATTTTAATTAATATTATTGTCTTCGCTGCTAAATTACTGTCTCCAGCAGTTATTTAACTGTCGGAGACAGTAATTTAACTATTAATTGACTTTTTTTTTAATATTTTAATTAATATTACTGTATTCGTTGCTAAATTACTGTCTCCAGCAGTTATTTAACTGTCGGAGACAGTAATTTAACTGTTAACTGACTTTTTTATTCTTAAAAAAAATATTTTTAATTAATATTACTGTATTCGTTGCTAAATTACTGTCTCCAGCAGTTATTTAACTATCGGAGACAGTAATTTAACTGTTAATTGACTTTTTTTTAGAAATTTTTTTTCTTAAAAAAAATTATTTTAATTAATATTACTGACTTGGCTGCTAAATTACTGTCTCCAACAGTAATTTAACTGTCTTAGACAATAATATTACTGTTCGGGAAAATAATATTCATAATATTACTGTCATAAACAATAATATTACTGTCTGAGATAGTAATTTAGTAGCCAAGACAATAATATTAATTAAAATATTTTTTTCTAAGAAAAAAACAAAAATTTCGAAAAAAAAAAGTCAACGGTGGTTTACCGGCCGGAAAAAAAATTTAGGAAAAAAAAAGTTTTCAAAAAAAAAAAAAAAAAAGTCAACGCCGGAATCTGGTCGGAAAAAAAGAATACTTTTCTGAAAAAAAATACTTTTGGGGTTAATGTGAGATATATTTGTTTAAATCCGGGGTCAATGTGTAATATTAAGGAAGTTAGAGCATAATGGATGGACTTGATAAGAATTATATTATGGAGGGTATTTTAGACTAAATACATGGGGATGGGTTTAATTGATATATTGTTTTTTTTTTTTTTTTGTGGACCAATGTGCATTTAAGTCCCATGTCATGGGCCTTTTTGCCATCGCCCTTTTATTTTATACATTAATTATTACAATTAGTTTTCACTATTTAAAAAATAAAGGGTTTCCATCTTCAGTGCCCGAAACTAAATTTCAGGTAACAAAGCTCGAAATTTGTTTCAAAGCTCGAAATTTGTTTCGATTCCGGGATTCAAGCCCGAAATGACTATTAAGTAAAAAAAAATCTATTTCGGGCTACAAGCCCGGATAGAAGTCTTGGGCTTTGGGCCTGATTTTTATTCTTTTTGAAAAAAATACAATTTTATCTTTTAGTCAAAATCAAGGTTGTAAAAAACGGTAATCGGGTCCGAGGCGGTCAGGGACCGACTCACGATTAATCGGTGCGGCGGTGATTAATCGGTGATAAATTGGAAATAAATCGGTTTTTAAAATTTAATATAATATATTTGTAGATATTATTTATAAATACTCAAAACATAAATAAAAAATATTTAAACATAGTTATATCTCCATCATGTATATATTCTAATAACATAATAAAAGTTTAATAATAATAAGATCATAATACACAAATATCCTTATAAAATATAAATAAAAAGGCATTTTTTTTTTAATTTACATACATTATTGGCATATATCATTAGTTTTTTAACAATAATAATTAACATAAACAAAATAAAAGCATAAACTCATATTTTTTTTATAAAAATCCCAACTTTTATTTTATTTATAAAAAAAATAAATAAAATAAATAAAAATAAATATATAAACCGATTTTTGACCAATTTTTTGCCGATTTTTGCCACCGAAGTTTGACCCGCCTTAAAGGTTTGACCGCCTCAAACCGCCTCACAGGCAAAAAACCAAATTTTCAAAACTTTACACTAAAATCGTAAAGGTTTTGGACCGCCTCCGCCCGGCGACCGATTAATCGGCCGCCTCGGCCGATTTTTAGAACACTGGCCAAAATTATGGGTGTCTATATCAACAATTGTCGAATTGGTAACAATATTATTTAAAAAACACTTCAACATATAAATACTTGGAAATTCAGACAGTATTTGACAAAAATTTTGAAGGTTGAGACTTGTATTGAAAACATATTCTATAATGTTGAATTAAAGGGTTCAAAGTAGCAGCTGAAGTAGATTAATGTAACAAGGGCCATACGTTTTGACAAGTTGGGACAGTTATCTTCGGCCGTGAAAAGGACTGTAAACTATATTACAGACCACATTAAGACCAAAAATAATAAGGCTGGTCCAATAAAAAAATGACCATGGAGCGAAATGGACTCCCAATATTCGTCTTAAATACTAATGGGTCAGGGTAGTAACTGCATAGCCAGCGAACCAACATTTTTTTTCAGGGCAGTTACTAGTTACCCAATTCCCCTGATGGTGTCTCGAACTCATGACCAAATAGTCGTACGTGTAATGGGCTACCTTGTCTTGACAAGCCAGCAAACAACATTGTCTTTTTTCTTACGGAACCAATTATTTTTAAATTCAGAAATACTAGTAGAGTTTTACTCATTCTGAAAATTACTATATACCTTAATTAGAATAATATATGCATTCCAAAACTTAAATTCAATAACTAAAGGAAATGATGAAAAAAAAAAGAGTCCCATTCTATGAGTATAGTAGAATAAAAAAGAGAGATGGGGTATGAGCCAACCAACCACCCTCTTCTCAGCTGCTGCAATGAATGCTGCTTCTTACTGTGCTATTATGACTAATATTTCACTTGTCCCATTTTTCTTTCTATCTATCAGTGTGTGCTGTGTTAGTTGAGTCATCTTTATTGCATTCTATGCTATCACACATTTATTACTTTTGGCTCCCTTTTGCTTCAACCATACTACTTCATAGTATTATTATTATTATTATTATTATTTCACTCTTGGGTCAAGAATCATTGTAAACTTCCTACGTTGAAAAGTAATCAGTATATAGTGATTTCGCACTGCTGATTTTTCTGTATTAAATTTCTTCTTAAGTTTAATCACAACCATCATTGACCAGGAATAGAAATAATAGCTACTACCTAATCCTTTTTTACATGCACTAACTAGTGTATGCTGCTGTCAAAATATTCTGCTTATGTTAGTTAATCCCCCAACCATCATTGCAGCTGCATTAATGACCTATGGTCCTCTCTCTCTCTCCTCTCTCTCTCTCTAAAGTGGTGGTATTCTGCAATAATTCCCAACAGTCTTGACATTGAATAAATGAAGAACATGATGTTGATATACCAAATTTGGTGACCGTACATTTAATTTATTTCAGTATATATATCTGTTTCGGCTTGGAGAGAGACAACACAGTAATAGAGAAATGGATTCGAGAGAAATCAAGTCACCTGAAGTTTTGCCAGATACTCCGGCGAGTGTGGAATCAAACACGAGCAGATCTCATAGGAGGAAAAGGCTCGGTTTGTATTTCCTCGAATCCGACGACAGACGAACAGCCCTTGGAGGTGGCTACACTAGCTGTGGAGCAACACCGGTTAACATCCATGGAAAGCCCATTTCCGACTTCACCATGTCCAAGACTGGTGGTTGGATTGCTGCTTTCTTCATTTTCGGTACTCTTCTTTTCCATTCTGAAACAAAACTCTCTTTTTGGATTTTGATGGAAAATTTGATCTCAATTTAAATAATTTTTGTCCAGGGAATGAAATGGCAGAGAGAATGGCTTACTTTGGACTGTCGGTGAACATGGTGGCGTTCATGTTCTACGTCATGCATCGACCTTTCGAGAGTTCGGCAAATGCAGTCAACAATTTCTTAGGAATATCACAAGCTTCCTCTGTGCTCGGTGGGTTCCTCGCCGACGCATATCTTGGTCGATACTGGACAATCGCCATTTTCTCAACGATCTACCTTGTGGTACATATATATATGCATAGTTTTTAAGACTAAGATTCTTAAAAATGGTGATATTTCGTTTCTTGTTTTTAGCGGACGCTCTAACCATCTGAGCTAATTAACATGTCCATTAATCTCATTCTTTATTCTATTTTCTTTCATGGAGGGTCTAACAGGAATAACCCTGTGCGGAACACTGACCATTCTAATGCCGAATCAAGACAAATGCGACCAGATAGCACTTCTACTAGGCAACTGTGAACCTGCAAAGCCGTGGCAGATGCTTTACCTCTACACAGTCCTGTACATCACTGGATTTGGAGCTGCTGGCATTAGACCGTGCGTCTCTTCCTTTGGCGCAGACCAATTCGACGAAAGAAGCAAAGACTACAAGGACCACCTCGACAGATTCTTCAACTTCTTCTACCTTTCGGTCACTGTTGGAGCAATTGTGGCATTTACAGCAGTGGTCTACATTCAAATAAAACACGGATGGGGTTCTGCATTTGGATCATTAGCCATTGCCATGGGCATGTCAAACTTTGTTTTCTTTCTGGGCACTCCTCTCTATAGGCATAGGTTGCCAGGTGGCAGCCCACTCACCCGCGTGGCACAAGTCCTCGTCGCTGCCTTTCGAAAGAGAAACGCTTCTTTCGAGAGCAGTGAAATCGTGGGATTGTACGAGCTTCAAGGCAAAAGATCTGCCATCCAGGGTAGCGCCAAGATTTCCCACACTGAAGATTTCAGGTAACCACAATTCTTTATTTTTCTTTTACATGTAGAGTTTTACAGTAGTATATTGAACATTTCGAAAATGTAGGTGTTTGGACAAAGCGGCTCTGAAACTGAAAGAAGATAGCCTCGATCCAAGCCCGTGGAGGCTCTGCACAGTCACACAAGTCGAAGAAATAAAAATCCTTATAAAACTCCTCCCGATTCCAGCATGCACAATCATGCTCAATCTAATCTTAACCGAGTATTTGACGCTCTCAGTACAACAAGCGTACACATTAAACACTCACATGGGCCATCTCAAACTTCCCGTCACATGCATGCCCGTTTTTCCAGGGCTCAGCATATTCCTTTTCCTCTCTCTCTACTACTCGGTTTTCGTTCCGTTATCAAGAAAAATCACAGGGCATCCACACGGAGCATCTCAGCTGCAAAGGGTAGGCATCGGTTTGGCAGTTTCGATAGTATCTGTCGCGTGGGCTGGAGTTTTTGAGGGGTATAGAAGACATTACGCCATACAACACGGGTACGAGGCTAGTTTCTTAACCCCAATGGAAGACCTGAGTGCGTACTGGCTGTTGATACAGTACTGCTTGATAGGAATAGCTGAAGTGTTCTGCATTGTCGGTTTACTGGAATTTCTTTACGAAGAGGCGCCAGATGCAATGAGAAGCATAGGGTCCGCTTATGCCGCCGTTGCTGGTGGTTTGGGCTGCTTTGCCGCCACTATATTGAACAACATTGTCAAGTCTTTGACCGGAGATTTGGAGAAGAGGAAACCATCTTGGCTGTCGCAGAATATAAACACTGGAAGGTTTGACTATTTCTACTGGCTGCTGACTGTGATGAGTGTGATCAACTTCTGTGTGTTCTTGTATGCAGCAAATAGGTATCAGTACAGAAAAAAGCAGGTGACCGAGACAAGAGAACAAACAAATGTGCAAACGACCATAAAGGAGGGTCCTTAGTGAATTTAATCTACTTTGCCGCGTAGAGACGTTTTATGTTTAGTATTCGGTTTTGTAGTCTGAAGGTTATAGTTCGATTTTCATGGTGGTTTTAGTAGCTAATTTACGTGCCAAAATAGAAACCTTTATCAATTTTCGATGTTTAAACTAGCATGCCATGGGAATGTTATGAAATAAAAGCAAATGGCATATGAAGACATAGATGAATAGATATGCATATGCTATTAAATAGCTACATACCGGTGAACGGTGACAGCAGAAACTACGATATTGCGAGTATTATGGAGAAAATACAAAGCAACTATCTGAAAAGCCTCAGGACTGTCAAATAAGAGAGGTGCAAACAAAGTAAATAATCAGTCTATGCAAAAACTAATATTTTCAAGCAACTCAGGTTTCTCAAAATTGCCGAGAGCAGCTTTAGAAATATAGATCCAACTTCGGATTATTCAATGTCAAAGTCAGTGTTGATTACTGCATCAACTCTGTATTAACACTACTTAATTTATTTCTCAACCCCAGAATCGAAATTCTATCTTTATATGGTCACACACACAATACAACACGCAAGTCGTAAGTTTTCACTACGTTAACACTGCAGTAACACTATACATAATACTACATGCAAATCCCAACTCACAATTCTACTTAGCAGCTTTAGGAATGGCTCAAATCAATATCAGTCATCCATTACTCATCTTATCTCCCAATCCAGCATTAATAACTCACTAATATTCACATATACGATGCAACATATAAGTAATAATTCTTCTTAGACATAGTAAATGGGGAGTTAAATCTAAACAAATGCACCACCGTAAATCTCTTCAATACTGCCTCCGTCTATACGTGTAACTGCACATTACATTTTACAGTTAAAAGATTTTATTTTTTTGGGATCCATTTTTAGTGCATGTGTCGTGCAGTGCTTTATAATGTTCTCCGCATACGCATCCTTGAATTCTCATAATTTTTTCCCCATTTAAAATGACTTCAATAAAAATGTTACAATAGCCTAGTATCATTCGTACAAGATGTTATGGTAGAGACAAAAGATAAATTAATTCCAAGAACCAAATTAATAATACGAGGAATTTTACATTCAGAGCTGCATTGAACCTCTTAGGACACCTTCTGTTTGAGGTTCCGAATAGCCGACATCTACCTTGTAGTTGTGTCTGAGATCAGTTTGAGTGTCTTTCTTGTCAAAACAATATATAGGGGCTTGCCACTTTGCATCTTCGAGCACAGCTCCCACTTCAAATGTCATTACATGGATTGATCTACCTATAATTCAAAAGGTGAACATGACAAAGTAAATCCAAATTGCATTAGATATAATTCCAGAGATGAAATCAATTCAAAGAACATCATGTATGGTTCCTCCAATCCAAAATCAGCATTTCTTGATTCCGAGACGCTAGTCTAAAATGATCTTTTAATTGTTTATATTTCTCACCGCAAAGTAACTTTGATTGTGGTCCAAAAATCTATCGGCACTATACGAATTTGCTCCATTTCAATGTCTCACATTCAATAATTAACTTAGAACTGCTACACTACTGCTGATCTTAACACACACACACACACACACACACACACACACACACACACACACAATTTTTGTGTTAGGTGCAACTAAATGGTCATCATACATGACAGCAGGGGTTGATCAAATACAATAAGCTATACAAAAATTCGATCTAGATGAATTTTAAGATCCATTTTACGCAGCTTGTGAATTGAATGCTGAAAATAATGAGAGGGGCAAGTGGCTGCTTAAAAAGGAAATAATAACTTGGGCATTTTTTAGAACAGTCATACTAAGTTTAGCATCCATTAAATTATATTAATTCAACCTCTACAAACTAATACTATCGGGACTAGTAAAATTCTATTAATTTAGTGAAATATTAAATTATCGAACTAATAATTTAACACGTTTACTTCGCGCCGGGGCCGGGATAAATTATTATTTAAGCGAAATTATTAGTTTATCGAGATTAATCTGTATATTTCTGGGATTTCTGGGATTTCTGGAATAAGTAAACTTGGGTTAGACATTCTGCTTTTAAATCACAATTAGAGAAGTAAAATACTCCAATGATAAAAATAAATAACTAAATCGAGAACTGCAACCCAGCATCTAGGAAATTGAAATGCACTGATAAAAAATAATAATAATAATAATAATAATAATAAAAATAGAATAGAAAAAGATGAAAAAATTGATTACCAGTGTAGAAAACCCAATGGACAGGCCTCTTGGTAACGACATCCTCATAATACCAAATGAAATCAACCTTCTGCCACACGTTGCAGAGGAAACCGTCGACGTTTTCCTGGCCGAGGTAAACGGCGCCGTCAAGCCAATTAGGGCGGAGAATCCCGACCTCGAGCTGAGCCGAGCGGCACTTTTTGTTGGAATCGAGTGTGTAAAAGAAGGAGGTGCCGTTGTTCCACTCGAGATCGTACAAAAGCTCGCCGAGCTGGCTTTGTATGATGTTGAAGTTGCGGCCTTTGGGCCAATCATACCAGAGATCGATTAGGCTGAGGGACCCGCTGAAGTTTACAAGGAGAATGGAGTGGAATTGGAGCGGCCATGGAGTCGGTTTCGGGGATTCTGCCGCTGCGGTCAAAGATGAGCTGGCGGCGGCGAGGAGGAGGAGGAGGAGGAGAGTGTAGGTGGTGGTGGTGGAGAAAGAAGACATTGTTTGAGATTCACTGAAGAAGATAAATTGAGGTATCCTAAATTGGTTTAGATTGCAAAGGCTACGTTTGTCTCAAATTCTTTTCATTCTTTCCACCAAAATAAAATTATTTTTTTGAAATATTTTCAAAAAAACTTTCCCCTAAGCTATCCTTCAAATTCTTCTTTCAAAATAACTTTTTCCAACACATTTTAGACATGATTTGACTTGCTACAATACAAATTATCTCCTCTCAAAACACAAACAAACTTAATTTTATTTTCAAATTCTTCTCCCAAAACATCTTTCTCCAGAATAAAATGAAAATAGAAGCTCAAAAGCTTACCAAACATAGCCAAAGTGTTCACCACAATAATTATATTTTATAGGGCAATTTGAGTGTGCCACATTTCTAATTGTACGTGGATAATTAAGCTCACTCTTTAAAAACCAAAAAAAAAAAAAAAATCAATTTTCACTTGAGACTTATGAAACAAAAAAATAGGGCAATTTACAAATAACAATGGATACTTATTCATAAAGATGTTCACATAATAAACTCTTTTACAAAAAAGTCCACACATGGTCTAGTGGTTTGTAAAAGACTAAAATAGCCCATCATAATTTAATATGCTCCAATTTCATCATTTATTTTAATCGAACCTCAATTTGATCCCAAATTTCACAAATTATTCAATTTTAACCCAAAACACAATTTTATGGACAATTTTGTCTGTCACCATCGTTGACCGCCGGTGTCCGGTATTGACTTTTTTTCTTCCTGATTTTTCCGCCACCGGTTTCCGGCGTTGACTTTTTTCGATTTTCTTAACAACTTTTTGCCCCCGTTTAAAGAGCAATGTTGTTGTGGTTGACAGTAATATTAACTATATTACTGTTAAACATAGTAAAATTGACTATACTACAGTTTAACACAATAATTGTGCTATATTAATCTCCAGCACAGTAATATTAGAACAACAAAAGTCATTATTATTGTGTAATAGAGTAATATTAATATGTTGACCCGTCAACAAAGGTAAACATAATAAAAAGCCAAAAGAATTAATATTACTATGAGTGACAGTAATATTACTATAACAACAGTAATATTACCGTCAACCACAGTAATATTATTGTGTTTACAGTAATATTACAATAATATACAGTAATATTATTACGTTATTCCGTGAATAACTCAAACAAAACAAAAAAACCCGAAAAAAAAAATAATAATATCGATGTGGTTGACAGTAATATTATTGTGTTACAGTCATTTTACTGCCAACGACAGTAATATAATTACGTTGACTTGTCAACAAATCAAACAAAATTATAAAAAAAAAAAAAGTCAACGCCGGAATCTGGCGGTAGAAAAAATAATTTTTTAAAAAACAATTTTTTTAAAAAAAATCAAAATTGGATTTTTTATGTCAAGTTGATTAAATTGGGGTTACAATTAAGAATTTAGTGTAAAAGATTGGAGATAATTTTGTCTTATACATGAATTTTTCCTTTATTTATAATAAATATTAAAGGAGTGGGCTTATTGGCGAAAGAGATATAGTCCCTAAATCAAAAACCAAAAAAAAAAAAAAAAAAACCCCAAAATAGTATAATATTTGTATTTGAACTCACCGGCAGAAAGTCGATTAATCCAAATCGACTAATAAAAGTCGACAAACCAAGTTAGCTAATCCAAGTCGATTAATGACCACGACCGAATTCCACTATATTTGGAATTGGGCATAACTAAGAACATATTTAGTAAGGGTGCGGTACCTCAAATTTTAATATTTTTTTACTATTATATATGAATATGTGATTTATTGTCTTTGTATTATGCTCCTATAATATTTGAACCTTATAGTTTTATATAAAAAAGTAAAATTAAATATTTTTAGTTGAAAAAAAAAACAAAGAAAGATAATAAATGAGTTTTAACAAATAAGATAAGGAAGTTACGGATTGTGACTTGGAACTGTAGACGAGTTCATCATTGGGTAAGGATGGACTCAAGTCAACACTAATCGAAAATATTTCCACTATACACCTATATATTTGTCAAATCACCATTTTTTTATTATTTAGTCCACTCGAAATCTAAATTATTTAGACCACCCAAAATCTAAATTAATGCAAAAAAATCATAAGTTTCTCTTTGCCTATCTTCTGGTTTTTGTCAAAAAAAAAAAAAAAAAACCTAATTTTTTTTAGGTGGCACTGCCTCCAAACCCTTAAATGATGAAACCCCGGCTTCGCCACTGGCGATACTAACTTTATTTGAAGCAAAACGGAGCGATCTATAGTCACCAAATTTGCTCTCTGATGCACGTCGGATTTTGATGACCTGACGTCGTTTAGACTATCAAAACGATATTTTTGCAATTTTTGGAATTCCTATTTTAATATCTTTGTATAAAAAAATTGGTTGTGATTCCGCAAATTGGGTTGTTTTTAGTATGGCGGCGAATATATGCAATGCCATTTTTTTATTAGCTCCAACCCACATAAAGAGGTTTATTAGTTCAGACCCGTAAATTAATCTAATTTTATTACATCAAGACCAAAGATGACGAATATACACTTATCAATAAATAATACACAAATACAAACAAACCCTATTTTTAATTTGTTCAAGACCAAAAATAAAAAAATAATAAAAAAAATAAAAAATAAAAAAAGAAAAAAGAAAAAAGAAAAAAAATAACTAACAACTACCGCCGCCAGACCGCCGAGACACCAACCAGCGAGACTTACACTGCGCTGGCGACGACTAGCGATCCACCCACCGCACCACCTCCACCGCACCATCACCACCACCTCACCACCACCAACAAGTAGGTCATTTTTACTAAACTTTTGTTTGTCGATTCAAAAACATTAATCGAGCATCGATTCTTGATAAATATGCGTGGATGAACATTAATCTATGCTTACTTCTTGTTGGGTTGCAATGCTTTAGCCGATTTTGAAAAAAAAATTGAGATTAAATTGGTTTTTTTGTGTGATTTCATTGGTATCCCAAATCGGTTTATCCAGACTGATTTTGTACAAGAAAATCGGCGTCACAATGCGGATTTTTGTTAACCACATCGGCGACACAACGTCGACTTTACAAGTCAAAGTCGGCGTTGTAATGCCGATTTTTTTTTTATTATTATTTTTTATGATTTGTATTTTTATTTAGCTATGAATTTCATTAAGGGTAAATTAGTATTTTTATATTAAAGGTCTTGAATTAATAAAAAAAAATGGGCTTGCATATATCTGCCGTCTTTTAGTATAAGGGGATTTGTATTGTTCTAGTAAATTGACTACATACTGTTTCACAATTTATTTGATCAAAATCAACATTAAAAACCGAAGTCATAAAACAATATTTATATAATCTATACAATAAAGATTATACCAAAACTTTAAAATTGACAATATTTGGGGAATAAAGAAAAACAGCTGAAGCGCACAACTTTCATGCACAAACTGAAGCACACGACTTTCGTGTACAAGCTGAAGCACGCATCTTCACTCTCTCACCTGCGCTCATTCAGCCTTCCTCGTCTCTTCTTCGACTTATTTTTTCTTGTTTAGCTAGAATTACTTCCCATGGAATTTTTTCCTTCTTTTTTTTTTTTTTTTCTAAATCAGACCTTTACGTTTCTCTAATTTGCTAATGTTTTTTATTGGATTAAAAATACCAAGTGCAATTTTACATTCCATTTTCGTGTCTTCCAACGTATTTTTCATTTGGTATTCTCAAATTGATTTTAACTTTATAGTTTATATGATTTCACTTCAAAATCAATGTCATTAATTTTAACACAAAACAAGAAAGGATTTTTATATTATCACAATTCAGTTGATCAAAATCATATAGTAAAAATAATTCAAACAAACGAACGGAAATAAAAGACGAGTAGTAATAGTGTAGTACACCAACCCTCATTAGAAAGCTTAGAATAGAGATCTAGGGTTCAAATCTTGCCCATTTCCCCACGCTCCCCCAATTTCTTACAGGATATGAATTTCTCAACGAGAAAAGAAAAAAAAAGTAATAACGTAGTAGAAGGCGAAAGCATATCAACTTGAGAGATGAATTGACCAGTAACTCTAACTCTTCAACCATACAGAGAATACACTTCGAAAACGATACTAGTTCTGATCTTGCATGCTCGATATCAACTATACACCATGCAAATAGAAATGCAAGCAACAAGTATATGATTTCAACGTTCTTTTTTTATAACTTGTATGCAACAACTTCCAGCAGTTAACCCAGTGCAGCATGCACTTGAGCCCTTACCAAAAATCTCATGTGCCAGTTCAGTTCATCAACAAAAAGGGGTAAATTAGCCTTTTTCTAAACTTGCAAATCTCACCTGAAAAATTCTCACAACATATTGAACAAGGTTATATGCATATAACATCTGTCTAAATATACTTCAACCCGGAGAAATATTGCCGTCTAGAAATTAGATACTGGGCCACCGAATACATAGCGCCAAGTAGCCCCAAAATCTTAATCTTGAGAAGATCCGTCATTATGACAGACGGCAGATTGAGGGGTATCGTGAGTAAAGGCCTCGAGTCAGCCTGTTTTGTGTAGCTCCAAACGAAACTATTGAAAAGTATGTGACTTGGGAATGTCAGAACAAGAAGCGCTAAATTCTTGACTGCAAATATCCAATCAGGTCCTCCAATATCAACAGCCCAGCCACCATTTCCATGCCATACATCTTCCCATATACTGTACAATGCAGTTAACACCAAATATGCAGATATAGCAACAGTAACAGGGAAGTACCTCTGCTTATCGCCAAATCCAGCGAAAAAATCCGAGTCCTGATTAAGCAGCAAGAGTACAGGTGCCAAGAAAAATATAGCACTGTTCGATCCACCACTGAGATGAACATTCAAGATTAGGCATATCGAAAAACACATCACAGTGGCAACATTACCGACAGCTGGCATCCAAGCTCCCTCTGCAGCTATCCTTTTGATGGTAAACGTTGGCATGGTAGATGCCCTTCGCTGATTCATAAATCTCAACCTCGGAGGAACGCTAGCTGCGCTACTGCTTTCACCTGATTGGCTGTGTCGAAGTCCGCCCCTTTCCGCAAACTTTTCCCGCATAAGTGAAGCCAACTCAAACTTTATCTCAAGTGCTATAAGCATAAAGATTGCTGCATACAAACCAAGAAGGGATGTCCTTGCACCCTCGATAGCAAGTAATGTTGCAATCTTACTATCTTCTTCAGCAATATCGTCGACCCCACTCTCTTCAAGCCAACTCTTGTTAATTCTCACTTGGCCTTCAAGTAAATAAGTCACTGGAAAGAGGGCCACAATCAGAGCAAATACCCAAGGGAGAATCTTTGTGCTAGAGGCGGAAGGTAAATGAGTGAAGACCACAAATACACAAGTGCAGACCATGGTAACAATTATGAGGGCATGTAAAATTGCTGCTTGAAGAAAGTACTCTGCAGATACGTAGATTCCAAGAGCAACTCCCAAAGCAATGGCGTAAGATGTCCTCAGCTCAACGATGTATTTAATTGGAATAATGGAGGTGACACCAGCTAGACTGAGAAGGATTGCTGCAATAAGCAACCATGATGGCCATGTAGGCTTTAATGCCATGAAGCCATATATGGAAATGTCGTCAGTAGATTGACGAGCAGATCTTATTACGTCAGAGTGATAAGTCCATGCCAGTGGAATTGGTGGCTGCATCAGAATGAATAGCAGACCAGTTGCTACAACCAACACCAAGTATCTCTTTGCAGCCTGGAAAGACGGATTGTCAATATCTTCTAGTCAGATATAAGAATTAAAATTACGAAGTGAACATGGTAATCAGCAATTGGACTCTTTATAAAAAAAATAATAATATAGTCATTTTGATTAATATTAAGATGATTAATACTTGAAAATGCTGCAGAATATTGTTTTCGTGGTAACATGTTGTCACTGAACTACAGTAAAAATTACACTATTTGAACATAAAAAAAGTACAATAAATGTAAACAATTTAACTATAAGTCCCTAATGAACATCACCCACGTCACATGGATTGATTGGGAGGTATGCTTGAACATCACCCACGTCACATGGATTGATTGGGAGGTATGCTTGCTCATATCAATTAGTAAAACTAAATAAAAAATGATATCTGAAAGTATTCGATCAATTTAAAAATCTTCTCCTATTTTCAGAATAATGTTGACTGATAAGGGTTCCTCGGAATCAAAACTAAGCACAAGATAGTTAGAACAGTACGTCTAAGTAACTGTTAGCGTGCATAAAATAGATTATGGAGGTAACAGACATATGAAGTTAAAAAAGGAAATAAGGAATGGTACCATGACATGGGTAAAGTGCATGGCGACAATTGGTACACAAGCTAATCCTGTCAAGAGGATACAAGATCCTAAAAGCAAACCATCAGATGGAGGCCTCCCATTCCACCACTGGAGGGCTTCAAAGATCGTTTCACGACAAAACCAGACAGATAAAGCAACAACACCAGCATGTGCATAGCCTTGCCACGGTTTCATCTTTGAAGCTGATTTAGATTTATCCCTACAAGGTAATGGAGCTAATTAGGTTTCAGTATAGAAAACGTAATATTTACACAAGGAAAAAAGGTTTTGGCAGTACTTATAAAGCAGCAATGGAGGAGACACTGCCAATAATAAGACAGCTGAAACCCACAACACGGTCTTCGATGCCATAAAAAGCATAAATAGCTTTGAGGAGTAGAGGCAAATCAGAACCCAAACTGCCTTCGATCCAATTCTGTGGTCCACGGAAAGTCTCCTCACAATGGCCAGACCCGCAAATGTAGTCATTATGACCATATAACTTGGATACATCACATCATCCATTCCATAATAATACACATTTGAATAGTTGAAAAAGTTATTCTCGATATAGCACAGCAACAATGCATGGCTGATTAGCCCAGCTTCAGTCAGGAAACGGAATTGTGGCGGAAGAACAGCTAAACCAGGAACTGCCATTGCCAGAATTACACTGCCAACTATAAGCTTACAGAAGGATTTCAATGACATGCCTGCTATCCAGATATTAAGCCCCCAATAATTATGCATCACAAACCAACCCACCATCAAGCTCCCTAGCACAACAAATGCAGAGTATGATGACAAACTCTTCTTTGTGAAAAAGCGGGCCAAATAATATCCAGCTACCGATGGGAGCGGAAGGAACTGCAAAATGAAGAATATAGATTTTCAGTGGAATGTTCATAGTAATACCGTATGAAGGGAAGAGTGGCATAAGAATGAAATTAGAAATTTTGACTTTTTGGTAATTATTTCAAAAAGAAAAAAGAAGTTATGTCTGAATATTGCACAACAGCAAATTCTACATGATACATCAAACATTTGAAAGAAGGCAACTGAACTTTTAAAAATACAAAGCAACAGAAACATAGCTGGCAACTGGATCAATTGTACAAGGGACTGAATGATGTAAAGCTGAAAGGAGGACCAAAAGAATTAGGTTTGTTAAGTTTGTTAAAGATTCACCATAATACAGAAGGTCCCCTAATAGTCACTAGATTGTTAAAATGGAAGCAGGAGTGCTACGAAAGGAGACATAATTTGACTATGTTGTTATTTAATGACAATAAAATATGTTGCTTCAGAAGTTGGTGGCCATTAAAATGAAAAACAAATCAGCATTCACTCGGTAACTATTTTAGCTACTCCATGTCCACTTGAAAATAATCAATGATATTAAAGTCAGGCACTCTGAAAATAGTTTATGTCAGAATGAAACTCATGCAACTTCCCAATCTAGTCAACATATTGCATGGTCCCAAAAGAATGAAGTTTACACACAAGTAGAGTGAAAAGCGGCAGAATTCACAGTAGTTTCAAAAGCCGATATTATAGAAAAACCCACCACATTCAGAGTGCGAAGCTATTAGTGCACACAGTTAAATAGAAGTGATTACAAGAAACCGGCAGACTATCCCGACCAAATGAAGGAATGGGGTAAGGACAGTACTAAAATACTAATTTTATAGCTAGGCCAGTGACTGAATTCTTACATGAGAGAAGGAACTCGTGCTACAAATATCTGCCTACTTCCATAAGGAACTAATTAGCAGGTCTATTGATTCCTTGACTTACTTTTTCTACAAGCTTTAACTACATCATTTAAAAGCTTTCTTCATCTTATTACAATAACTATCACAAGATAAAAAAATGAAAAAAAAAAGGAAATACCTTAACCAAAGAAATATCACATTATGGGTCAACTATGAGGGCATGTTATAAAGAATTGGATTCGGAAATGCATACCAAGATAGGAAATCCCACAACAATCGCTCCAGAAGCACTAACAACGATGGCCAAAGCAGTGAAGACCAATGAGCTGAATGCATCAGAAACCATACCAAGAGAATACGTACCGGCAGCAACTGCACCTCCAAGCATGGTGATGGTGACAAATAGATAATTCAGCGGTGGTGGAACATGAATGTACCGCCCAAATGAATGGAAAACAACTCTAACCTCAAGGCATACAACAACAACTACCAAAGCCAAAGCACCATTGACAAATCGAATGCTCTGCAACTGGTTCTCATTCTTAGTAACCCACCATAAAGCCCCTCTCGTGGATGCATACAGTTGAAATAGAAAGGGAACGAAGAAAAGGAGGAACAAGTCGCAAACATTGGCACTAGATGAAAACATGATCAAATAGTGTGAGGCGATGTGGAATAATAAAGGGATGAAAACGAGGTTTAGAGTGTGCACACAACTCTCAAGGTGCCCAAGAATGAAACTATCTTCAGGAACCTCACCTCCATGGTAACTGACTTCTTGCTTCAATTTGAACGAGGATACACGAGGAATCGAGTAAAGCCAGTAGAAAATGCAATTAAAAACCATGAGATAGTAAGCAGCGTTGATCATCCCAACTGCGGAAACAGTTGCCCAGGCGAAAAGCGCAGAAGCAATTATCGGAACACAAGCGAACAAGAGGCGTTCAAGAGCAACCACAATGGTGGGATATTCAATCAGTATCCATTTGAACTGAAGAGATACCCAAACACCGATTAAGAAATTCGCCAATGCACAAGTGAATGCAGCAAGGAGAGTAAGGAACATAAAATTGAAGGTGTAATAAAGAGAAGAGCTGAAGAAGAAAGTTATCTGCGCGGCGATGAGTGAAAACCAGACTGCGAAAAAGGAACCAGATTTGAAATTGAGAGAATCGAGGATGTAAGCAATCATGAGGCCCACAATGATGGTGGCGACCACCGGTGTGCCGCCGAGGTCGAGGAGGAAGGCAGCGATTGGAACGAGAGCGACTGCCATTCTGGCGTTGTGGATGAAGGAAGAAGGCGATAATCGGGAATTCTTCATGGAGGAGCTTGCTCGGCGGCTTCTGCTGGCAGCTCCTCCGCCGTAATAGGATGAGGATGTGGGGCTAGGGTTAGGGTTTTGGTCACCGTTATAGGACGAGGAGGAGGTGGTGGCGAACGAGGGGGCACTGGCGGAGGAGGAGATGTACGGGCGGAAAGCCCGTGACTGGAGCTCCGGCGGCAGCATTTTGGCCGGCGGCGGAGAATTGTTGATGTGATCGGATCGGAGTGTGGGAAGGAAATGGAGTCAAAGTGTGAGCTATATGGATTTGGACTTTGGAAGGCGTTAATCCAACCAAGAAAGTAAAAAGAAAATATTAAGAGGGCGTAATCGTCATTTACGCTTACGCATACGGCAAGTGTTTGAGAGAACAATGGCCGTCGATTGGTTTTAACCGGATAATTGTGTTCATTTTTATTTTTTTTCTCTTCTTTTTTTCTTGAGAGAACAATGGCCGTCGATCTAGTAAAACACATACATCTTTAAAATCATGACTGAACCTAGAGAAATTCTAAATTGCTTACGTACCCTATAAAGGGATTAAGTCATAACGTAGTTCAAAATATATCCTTTTGAAGGATGTCGTGCACAGTTTATACTCACGTGGACAAGGAGAAATATATGCAGTTTAAGCTCGTGTCGAAGAAGCATTTGACTTGAATTTGTGGATAGTTTACGCTCGTATCAAGGATCCTTGACTTGATTTGGATATGTAGATAGTTTATGCTCGTGTCAAGGAGTATTTCATTTGATTTGACTTGTCATATTACATAGGGTGTCGTTTCTTCAAAAGACTTGCCCCCATCCTCATGATCTTCTTGTTCTTCTTCGACATGTTCTTCATGGAGCCGGTACGACTTTTGGATTGATGGTTCTTCAATTTGATTTGCATGTATGCTCAACTCCATATCATGTGCTCGAGTAGCCAACTCTTCAAAACTTTTAGGTTGAATTCCTTGAAGGATAAATCGTACTCTCCATTGCATTCCTTGGATGCACAGTTCAATAGATGATGTCCCAGGTAGTCGATCCTTGCAATTAATGCTCAAATTTCTCCACCGGTTGATATAGTCGATGACATGTTCCTTCTTCCCATCGCCACACCACACCGGGCATCACCATCCCCACACCATCAACGTCGTCCTCGTCGTTTGGGTCGGACTAAAGACATGGTTTTCCGGCGATAAGACGCATCATCTCTTCACTCTCCACCGCCGCCGCCGCTGCCGCCATCTCCTCCGCCTTTGCTGCCGATAACATCGACAGCATCCTCTTCGATAATGGGTAGAAGGTCCGATAACGTCAACCGCATCCTATTCGATAATGGGCAGAAGTTTTGGAGAGAATGGAAGAGAGAAGAAGATAGAATGAGAAAAAGACGCACCAAAAAAAACATCGACCGCATCCTATTCAATAGGTCAAACGATCTATTAAATCAGTTTTCTCAAATTAAAAAAAAAAAAAGAGGGGTTCTTCTTACATAAAGTTGTCTTGCTAATTTTCCCATAAATAAAATAAAATAAATGTGAAATAAAAAAAATGGTAAATAGCACTTTGCCCCCTAAAAAAATGTCATTTTCCTAAAAATGAAAAAAAGAGACAGCCCCCTTTAAAAATATACAACTTGTTGCACTTTGCCCCAAAATGTGTTTCTGGTGAAATTCTCGTCAGATTTGAGTAATTTGAAAGGGTAATTTCATCACATTAAGCTCTTTTTTCCTCCCCAACTCATATCAACCAAACTATGGTTTTCTTTGTTCCCAAATATGGAAATCAGATTTGGAGTCAGGGCTTCAAATCATTGAAGGCCTTCTGGATTCGTCGGGCTCCGTTTCCGTAAGGAATTCGTCCGTGAATCCTTGGACGCCTGTCGTTGTTTGAACTGCAAAGTTATGTTAGTGAAACCTCATGCGCCACCTGATGGCTTTGAAAATGGATTGCTCCGGTGGTGGAAAAGGGGTACAATGACACGAGAGATGGGTTGTGAAATGGAGACCGGTAAGATGAATGCAGGGTCTTGTGAGGACGAGTCATCTTTGTGAACCCAATTTCAAAAACTAAGATTCAGGGCATATAAAATTTATCTCTGAGGGATAAAGTGAGAGGGGGGGGAGAGTGATAGGTGAATCATGAAATAATCATCGCCCCAAAATCTAGCAAATGTGTCATCTTCGGCTGCCTAAGATTGTCTGATAGTGCGAAGATGAGAATGAAGAATAGTATATCTGAATTGGAAAATGGCTCCAAGAACAACAATTTCACTTCTCTTCAATATTATTTCCCCAATTCAAGAAAATAGATTAATCAAGCAACGTGGTTATTGTGTGTGTGTGTGTGTGTGTGTGTGTGTGTGTGTGTGTGTGTGTGTGTGTGTGTGTGTGTGTGTGTGTGTGTGTGTGTGTGTGAATGTGGATCCTCCTGCTGGTAACGAAAAAAAAGGTTGATTTTGATAATTGGAGAAGAAATATAGGATTTTTGTGGGTGTTGTGAATAAATTACGTATTGGAGATCCGCCATTGAACCCATATCTCAAAGCTTAACTCTGGTTTGTTTTCTTATCCACATTAGAGAATCAGATTCTCTTGTCGACTTTGTGAACCATTTTCAATTGACCAAATCAATACTTCACATGTCTGCAAAAAAAAAAAAAAAAAAAAATCAATAGTTCACATTTTATACCTAATATGACGACATTACCCTTTCAAATTACTGAAATCTGCCGGAAATACACCTCTGGTGTAAAGTGTAACAAGTTGTATATTTTTAAGGGGGACTGTCTCGTTTTTTCATTTTCAGGGGGGGAAGTGCTAAAATGGCATTTTTTGAGGGGGCAAAGTGCTATTTGCCCTAAGATAAAAGAAAAACCGGTTGGGGGCCTGAAACATCTAGGGCACTATATTTATGCATTAAATGCTCCGGGTGGTCATTAAATACATAGAAAACCTAAAGTAAGAAAGACTAAAGTCGGGCGAGAGGTAAAAGATGACTTCCTTGCTCCGATTGATATCAAGAATAGTAACATCCAAATCACTAAATCATGGTATTTCTGGGAGAGTGGCATCAATTGGATTTCTGAACCGGTTCAGCACTAAGGCCGACCAACTCATAACTCCAAAAATATCACCATGGCTGATGCTACCACCATCCACGGAAAGTTATAACTTCTATAGCCTTGCGCAGAATAAAGTTGTAAGTTTGAGCAAAGTAGAAGAATCCGATTATGATGATTATTCAGTGGCCTTGGGATCCTCCCATGGCTGGCTAGTTTTGCTTAACAAACGAAACTGCGATTTGCTTCTCTCGAACCCCGTTTCTAATCGTCACGTAAAGCTTCCTCCAATCCACATCCTGCCCATTCCCAATTCAGACTTGAGACGATGCTTGGGTCGCATCACCAAGGTCATCATCAATTGATCACCGGATGATCAAAACTGCCGTGCGGTGATGATTTTCGGTCCGTCGAATAGACTGGCTTTCTGCGTGCCGGGTCACAACACCTCCCGTTGGACTCCAATCGGTGCTACTTCGAACAAAGACGAAGAGGGACATAATATCGCAAGGGAATACGAGGACATTGTTTACTCCACCACGAAACATTTGTTCTCGGCGTCACTAAATCCGGCGATTTCGAGGCTTGGGATCTCCGCGACCATTTCTCGCCAAAAATGACTCTCCTTAACAAGGAAGGAAACAATCGTGTGTACGAGAGGAATTACGTGTACAAATCGAAAAAAGAGTTACACCTCACAATGATATGCGAGCCGCTACAACATCTAGTCATGGCCCCCCCACCGAATAACTCTGGTGGCGGCGGCGAAGAACAAGTCCTCCTTGGTTTGAATCGTTATGTAATGATACAAGTAAGGCCTGACGGTTCGTATGTCGACGACCACGAACCACGTGATAACATAATTAAATATCCCTACATGACTATTGCTTTTGACATTCACAAATACGACGTGGACGCTAATTCGGTTACGTACATGAATGGTTCATTGGACGGTGATGGGTCCACGCCCAAAGGCCCATATCGACAAGCCCATAGAGGCACACAAACCAAGCCCATAGAGGCACACAAACCAAGCCCAAATCGACTAAAGATAATAATACAAACCCAAGTCGGCTAAGGTCCAAACTGGCATGATCTAAACACTTAGGCCCAAGTCAACCCATGTTAAGTTACTTAGGCCCATGAGAATAAATATCTCCATATAAATACTCGGAAACCTCACAATTAAAGGTACGCAATTCATAACTCCCGAACAGTCTCTTGAATTCTCTGAATTCTTCTATCATACAAAGCTGACTTGAGCGTCGGAGGGTTTTCGCCGGGACCAATCCCGGCGCCCTAACGACTTTTTGTGATGCAGGTAGTGCCCACGCGAGGAATCAAGAAGTGCGAGAGAGGAATTGCAAAACGTGACGTGGAATCGTACCACATCATTTTGGCGCCGTCTGTGGGAAACCACTACCTAATCATTGAGAATGAAGTTTCACTCATGGAGAACATACGACGTTGGCAATGGTGGAAGATCAAAAGAAGTATCACTTCAAAATGCAACATGCAAAGAAAAAGAAAAATCCTTAAAAGAAGTTTAACACTCCATAAAAGTCGGTAGAGAGATTATATGGTCAACCTGAAAGTCAGTGTAGACATCAAGCTCAGTCCTAAAAAGGTGAATGATCCCTCCGGAACAAGCCTCAACTCAAATTTGTGGAGATTCATTGATCACATTGACAAGTCCTCCAATGGCACGACCTTTCGCCGCCACCGGCTCCTCATTGAACAAGTTCTTTATGCACTACAGCCATTCTATAATTTATCAGCTCTTTGCAGGTTGAAATCTATTGAGTTGTCCTTACTAAAGTTGCGGCATTCACAAAGTAGCCGCCGTCCAAGCCGGCACTATGCACCATACCTACCAACCGATGCAACATGAAAAAGCCACCTTAGAACCGAGAAATTTGTGGAGTCCCTTTGATGCATGCACTCTAGCCGTTGTCGGCTCCTCGTAGAGAAACTTCTTTATGCACTACATCCATTCTATAATTTATGAGCTCTTTGCAGGTTGAAATCTATTGAGTTGTCATTACTGAAGTTGCGGCATTCACAAAGTAGCCGCCGTCCAAGTCGGCATTATGCACCATACCTACCACCCGATGCGGCCCGAAAATGCCACCTTAGAATCGGCCAATTGTGAAAGTTTCTTTAATACACGTCCTCTAGCCGCCGCCGACTCCTCATTGAGTGAACTTTTTATGGACTGCTACCATTCTATAATTTAACAACTCTTTGCAGGTTGATATCTTTTGACTTGTCATTACTCAAAACGCGAT